AATAGGGAGTGACAGTCAGTTAATTTTAGTGTTTTTCATTGCAATCAAATCAAGTTGATCGTCGGCGGTTTTCTATAAAGCTTTTTCGTCACGTGTCCATAGGCAGTTAATCGTGCTTGTTACCTTTTCTTTGTAAAGGATTCTTTGCTTATCATATTACATTATCGTGTATAATAGAATTTGAATTGCTTTAAGTAATTTCTTATATTGAATGTATAATCTAGTTTGTGAGTAATGAACTAGTTAGTAGAAAGGGTAGTATCGCACTCGTAGTAATGAAACATCTCCTCCTGTATATAGGTTTAGGTAGGTATATTACGACTAAGTAGCGATCTTCCTAAACACGAGAGTTGGCATCTATTCAAGGCGAGTCGATACATAGAAGGCTTAAGACTGGAAGAAGCCTTAAGTAAGAAGTAAGGTATCAAGGTGGCTATAGGCTGGCGTTGTAGGTTCCAAGACTGGTTGAGCTTACAGTAGAGAGTCCCATAGGAGAGGTCCCATAGGACACTGTAGGAGAGAAGCTGACAAGGGCGACTCTTCAAATTTTTGAATTTTGTCTGCAGTCACGACAGAACCACAGTTTTCACAATTGCTTTTACTTACGCGACAAATTCATTTGTCAAAAATAGAGTGGCAGTCGTACTATCACTGTAGGTTTCTAATGCTAATGTGATACCTTTTTGGGCAAATCTTTTAGTAACCAATCGAACATGTTGTCTTTTTTCTGTCAATCGTAGTTTTTAGGTGCTATGTTTATCGCTTATCTTCCTCAACATTACCATTCAAATTTTCTAAACTTTCTTATGGAAAGAATACTTGCTGGTTATTACTTATTTTTCACTATTGCAATTAAAGGTGGGTCTTCTGTAGGCAGTTTGTGACCTGGAAGCAGTTGAAAAGTCCATAAAGGATTTCACGATTGGTCAAGATGCGCGGATACGAGCAAGACAAGGAAGGCAAAAAGCAATGGTGAGGTTTTTTATGGTACTGTTTTTTTAGCTTATAGATGCGTTTCAGGCCTTTTTTTTTGTTGGCAAAAGTTTATAAAAGTTAGGCAAAAATTTCAAAAAATTTTTTTTAATTTTTTTTGACAGATAAATAATTTATAGCATCACAAGTGATGAGGAGTGAAGATAACTTGTAGATTTTATATGCTTTATGTTACTTTATCTACAATAGAAATTAATAGTTGGTTTAAATGAATTCTTCTTTTATTACTAGATTTGATAGAACAACTGACTAATTTGCAACATATTGCCTGAACAGTAATAATTTTCTGTGTAAAAATGCTTTTTCTTGTTTATCTGTTGCGCTGTTTGTAATGGTTTGGTAGAAGTCTCCGCAGTTTAGTCTTATCAAATTTTATCCAGATATTTTTTTTAAACGTTTTGAAGAGAGCATTTTTATGATAAGCTTTTCACTTATTACACTCGATCTGAGTCATATAACAACTTACGGTTTTTCAGTGTCTTAATATTTTTTGTATTACTAATGAAATATTCCTCAAAAAATTGTATTATTTTAATTTTTTTACCAATATTCAGTTTTTTATTTAAAACTTGTTTGTATAAACGGTGATGCATCAACCTTTTCAAAAGAAAAATACACGGCAAATTTTTGAATATCTGTTTACCATCCTGATTAAGGTCATATTTTTATACAAAGTGCACCAAATTTTCGCTCGAACTAGTACGATTTTATGATCTATTATGCTTGTTAATGTAACTTCTTAAGGTTCAGAAAGGTATGAGAAGTAACTGCTGTAAAAAAGTTGCTTAAAATTATACAGTTATGTCAGATAATGCCACCACATACATTTGCCTTTTTACCTTAAAATTTCTATTTAATAACGTTACTTAATCTGCTTCCAAAAAGTCACATAAAGTCAAGAAAGTTTTCAACGTTCTAAAAACAAGAAGAAAAGTGATAGAAGTAGTCGGCTTCTTATCGTTTTAATTGGTAACCAATGTTTTTTCAAATGTGATTTCGGCAAAAACTGTATAGTAAAAATTTTGGCTCTTCTTGGTGGGATATTTTTAAGCAATCTACTTTTTTTAAAGAAATCTATTTGTCTGTTCAAAACTAAACTTTTTACCTTTTTTTTTGTTCAGAATACAACTTTTTTTTTACAAAATTTATTAGACAAGGACAAAGAATAAATATTTTTTGACATTGAACAAATATTATTGTAATAAATAAAGCGAAACTATACCATTAAATGAAAAAATAATTAAACAACAAACAAACAAACAAATTTTTTTCTTCAGAACAAAAAAACGAAAAGAATTTTTTTTGACAATAAAATTACTTCTCTAATCCAACAATTGAAAAAGAAACGTTTTTTTTGTCTGTCGATAAATAGCAGTGGTACTGTACTCATAAAATAATGCATAAATATCTATCTGAATCGGTTACTGCACCGATCACTAATCAAAGTTGCCTTTAAAAAATTTAATTTTAAAAAACTAAAAATAAAAACAAAAAATTCACACTAATAAAGCATTTGAAAAAACGGTAATTAAGAGATCAGAAAGC